TGTGCGAAGATCATGCATGTATTGTCACTGGGGAGGGAAGACCCAGAAGACAGGTGTGCTGAGATAAAAGCCCCGTCCTGCAAAAGCATCATTTGCTTCCCACTCCCACCATAGTGGAAGAGCTTCAAAGAAAAATCCTCAGGACCAGACATCATTACTCTCTTATCCTCAGCAGAGAGGACATTCTCTGCCCGCACCTCAGCGCTGCCGATGAGGCAGCACAGCCAGCAGTGCCCTCAGCATGAGTAAGAAGAGGTCATTGTGTCGCTGTTGAGCCAAGAGCTCTGCACAGATGCAATCCCTTTCATGGCCGTCAGCCTCTTCTGCAGCTGCAACTGGGGACTTGGAAGCTGACAAAACCCTTCCTCAGAAGCATCTGGTACGTCTCACTGTAAATATTTAACAACGAACAGACGGGAATTGAGAGCGCCAGCCATGCAGCCAAGCGCCTGCCACGAGCACCTTCAATTCTGCACATTCACACTTCCCAGAAGGGGACTGTACAGGTCAGGTGCCCATCACAGGCACCAGCAGAAGAGGTGAGGAGGTCCTAAAAGGATCAAAGGTGCAAACTGTACACAAAATATGCCTCCGGAAAAACCTGTCATTTTAAAGAAGAGATCTAGAGACGAGGTTTCTAGAAAGGAGATTGTGAGGTAATTCAAATAGCATACATCTTGGTTCCTCCCTGCTATGTTTCGTCTACTTGACACTGTCTACTACTTCAGCGATTTCTGCAGAACCACCTGAGTCCCTTGCACAGTGGCCACTTGCAAAGCAACCACCAGACCTCACGTTCAAGCCTGCACCCAATTCAGCTGCAAATATTTCTCTGATCCCATTTAACAGAAGGGGATTGAACAGCAGCTCAACTTGTGAAATCAAGGAAGACAAAGCCATCACAAGCCGGAAATCCAGTTCCATCTCGTGAGGCTGGGGAAAGCAAAGGAGACTGGGTGCTAGGATGCGCTCCAACAAACATTCCCAGAAGTGTAGCAAGGCCAGACCTAGGTCACCCACTACGCAGTGTCTCTCCAGAAATGAGCTAAAGAAATCCTCCAGTCCAGTAACCACATGGATTAAACTGGCAACAGGTATCCAGGCTTATTCCTACTGGCAAATTCAGAGTATTAACACTGTAATACCAACAAGGCAGCCAAATATTCTTGCAGTCTTTTAGAGCAGGCAGAAAAGGCTTCTATTTTGCTACTTAAGACTTAGCATAGCTCATCCAAGCAGATTTCAGGGTATGCTCTACAAGCACAAGATAAAACACCTTTACTTAAGCACCCTATCTTAAGCCAGTGGCGGTGAAATTCCAAGATTTTTCTAAAGCACTTTGACACAACAAATACTGCTAACTTCCTACCAGGGTACGCAGTCCCATGGATCTCTCTACATAAAACATTCTCCAGCTCAGGCAATTCCAGTGCCACAGGTGGCTGCTTCCCAATACCTATCACAAAAGAGTAAGGCCCTTCTTATTGGAGTGAGCCTTCCCAAAGGATCTGAGAGCAGGCAGTTACAGAAGAGAGTGCAATATAGTGTTTTCCCTCCTAATGTAAAGATTCATCTCCCCTCCTTTTCTTCATAAAGGATTAAAAATTACTTCCTTGCAGTGAGAGCGTCACCCATATCTTTTCATGAAAGAATTCCTGTGCTGAACACAAAATGCCAGTCGTAACTTGAGAAAGATATACCAGAGCTACTGCTGGCAGTTCTCTGAAGTGATCAGCTCCAGGTGCAGCAGCAGACAAAAAACAAAGTAGTCAAGAGATCAGGAGAAATGAGAACAAGACAAGAGAGCACCACTTGCTGCTGTATTAAACATTGGTGCACCCACGACTGAGTTCTGCAGTCAGGTATAGTCTCTGCATCTCATCAAGGACACAGCAGTGTTACAGATATACAGAGAAAAGCATCTAAACTGATCAATGACAGTGCCTTAGGAGGGGCAATCAAAAAGGCTGGGATTCTCCGCTGAGGAGAAAAGGGGCGACTGCAGTAAATTTTATCAGGAAGGTACCTTCTGCACAACTAGAACCAGAAGCACCTAATGAAACTAGTAGTTTGTTTTTGTTTTTTTGTTTGTTTTTTTTTTTAAAAAAGGTACTTCCTTAGTTAGCAGGCTGTGAACTTCCCCACCTCCTGTGGCAACAATTCCAGCGAGGAGACAGCATCAGCAGGCTTGCAGAGAAATTAGATATTTACGGCCAACACATCCACAGAGGTCTAGGCAGAGACGTGCCCTCACATCCCTCATGTGACAGCAGAAACAGGGAGTACAAGGGGGAGAAAGAGTCATTCCTTCTGCTCTGCCTGCACACCACCTAGCCCAGCAGTGCATCTTTAAAGGGTGTTGAGATCCCTCAGCTTTTCACCTGAGCTCCAGGTCACCAGGTTTGAAATGGCTTCTCCTAAATCCTAATCCTAATCACGGATCCTAATCTCTGAATGTGGGAGAGGACCAAGCAGCTGCTGTACTAGACAAAAGGAAAGCTAGTACCCTCTATCAGAGAGCAGTTTTATTTCCAATGCTATTACATAAGCAGGATGCAAACATCGCTACCCTTCCACCTCCATTGTGCTTGCTCATGACACCAGGGTGAGGGCAGAACGCCTTCAGCATCCATATACTAACAAGCAGGTACATGCTTTGGGGCATGCTACGTTTGCTGTGCCTACAAAATGGCTGATGTTTTGGCTCAGGCTCCTCACCCATGCAAGTCCTAAGTCTGTTACCACAATTCAGCAACCTCCCTCCATCAGTATGTTAAACTCTTCTTTGGGCAAAAGAAGAACAGACTTCTCATCAAGAGGGGAACCTGGCCACACGGACCCACCTGCCCTAACAAGATTAACCTTACAAAACAGTCACTGACATAGATTATAAGAGCCCTGGTGATTTGCAATAATAGATTTTAGCAAATTAATTCCCTAGGCACACCTCAGCAAAGAAAGTGAGGTGAAAGCATCAAAAATGACCCTCAGAAGCACACAATCACTCTGATGCTACATAACAGGCACGTTCCAGGCAAGCTTGTCACGCCCCAGCCAGCAGTTCTACCCTGTCTTCGCGTGCCGCATTTACACTTCTGTGTGTTTTGAGATATCAGGGCTTTCAGATAAGCTTCGCACACAGGAAGAAAAAGCATGGCACCATCTTTAAGTCTTTTCTGGTGAAGCCATGAGACAGGGCTGCACAGTGTCAAAGACAGCTACCAGTAAGAGGAATCCTGCTTTTAAACTTTCCCTTATCTGCTTAAAAATGAAGACAGAATTGTGAAATACCCCAGCTCTATAGGTAACGTTTTCTGCCATGCTCTTGACAGGTAACTTGTATTTACTGAAAAGCACACACTATCATCTGCTGCAGATGCACACTTGTGCCCCGCCCTGGAGCCATCTGTGAAGGTCTCCAACAGGCTGGGGTGCAGAGGGCCAACCAAAGGACATCTCCAAGTCTGCAAGACAGGCAGAGAAAACCCAACATCCAATGAAGACAGTTCTTCAAAAGGGTGCAGAAAAGCTTCTTACGAGAGGAGGGAAGAAGAAAAAAAACCTCTAAGTAGCAGAAACCTTCCTATGCAGTCCCATGCTCCATCCTGATTTCAGACCCGCTGTACTCAATGCATGGAAAGACACAAGCCAGTCTTAACATTTCACTTTCCAGCACGTTCTGAAAGCGATTAAAAAAGTGAAAGCCTTACAGATGCTGGGGTTATTTCTCAGAGACCTAGGAGAGGTATCTTCTGCAACGCTCTAATGGATCTGGTTATACACCATGGCCCTGATAGCTGGCTAGAACTGTGGAAACAAATACACATGCACGTTTTGCTGCCATCTGTTCAGTTCATGAAGCCAAACTACACTGTCCCAAACATTACACTAGACCTCTCAAAAACAATGCGTTATTTTACTGAAATCAGCCTTAATTTTAAGACAATGGAGCCGATTTTCTTATTTCCAAATTCTTATCATTCAGTGCTTTACAATCAGCAGTGGAACTGATCCTCACAATATTGCTGTGAATTAGGGGAGCAATCCCATTGCAAAGATGAAGATGCAGGCAGAAGGTAGACACGGTGATGCGTCCAAGGTCGCAAGCACAGGGAAAGTCAGGAACTGACCCCCATTCCCCATGCCTTTGCCATGGGACATTCAAAAGGCACCACAGATCCTGAGACAATAGCTTCTTACTGGCTGTTCATGGTATCTCAAGGGAAAACACACACCTCTACACTTCAGTCCTGGCACTTCAACAGTATCAACATGAAAGAAAAGTCCCCAACAGTTTTGGGGAGGCAAGAATTAAGACCACTGACATGTGTTTTAAAAGCTACGTCGCCTTTCTGATTCAGGCATCCTATCTGGAACAAGCCTCCTCTCCCCTCCCGAGGCTAGGAGCCCAATCCTTTTCTGCAGGGTTTGTCCTGTCAAGGCTGCATTGACTGTTGGGGCCAGGAAAGGCATTAGTCTTGCACCAATGGCAGTACAGGTGCATCACAATTGTCACTAATAGGGACACACAGCAGCAACACAGTCTAAACAAGCCAAGGGGAAAAATCTGCATCTTTTTAACGTATTGCAAATTTAAATATGCATTTTCAGATTCATGGACGAATCAAATTATTCGTCCAGACTAATAGCTACAGTTCTGAGTTACGTTTGCATCTTCAGACTTCAATGTTTTGAGTTACATATGATCAAGACCTTGTCCTCAAACTTCTCCAGAAGTCCTTCAACCTGGACCCCCAAACTTGCCATTCTACAATGTTTTGGAGGAAGGCAGTCTTCCACAGACTATAATCATCATTACATGAAAGCATGAAACATGTCACTGCCATAAAACAATGACCAAATATCAGGTTTTTTTAAAATTAATGTCTGTTGCATATTCCTCTATCATTCTTCTAAAAAGCTGGTTAGAGCCGACTTTGCAGAAAGACGCGCGGGGGGGAGGAAAGGGAAGGGCTTAAAGAGTTTTAATTAATACATACCAGAATGGCCATCAGCTGGAAATATATCTGCAAAAGAAAAAAAAAGAAAAAATTTGTATTGGTTGCAGTCGGAGTGCAGATCATACTAAAAAGGTCCCTCCTCTCCTCATTTGTTTGCTTTAAGAAGCATTTTCTTAGTATCCCCAAGTTAAATATCAATCTAGCTTGGAACCCACCTCAGTTCAACCACTTGTCACGAGAAAGATTTTTAAGGACTTAAGAGAGCATTTATCCAAACGTATTGTTCTCATAAACAACCTTCCATTCTGGCTTCTAACAGACTGTGCTAAGTAAAAAAAAAAAAAAAAAAAAACAAAACGTTGTGTGGAGCACTGTCCATCTTGTAAAGAGCTAGCTGGTGAACCACACCCACCCCAACCAGCCCTTCTGAATGGAGACCTAGGCAGAGAGCATCTAACACAGTTACCAGGCCGAGGGACCACAGACAGCAGCCAAAGTAAAATCAAGACAGGCATTTTCCTGATGCTTCTTGGTTTTCATAGTTACAAGGCAAGTCAATAGGTGTGCCTGACTCCAACACAGCACATCTACCAACAAACAGGCAAAGAGAGGCATGCATCCGTCACCCAAACACAGCATCCACATGCGAACGATGCCTTGGCACATCACGCGTCACCCAAGAGGGAATACCTTCCCTTCCCACTTTCGACGGCTCTGCAAGCAAGTAGCACGGCCCTTTGCACAGAGCTACTGGAGTCTGCAGGGACTCAACTCCTGAGACAACAGATCACTCAACTTCCCACCCACCAAGCTCTTTCCTGCTTGAGGTACAAGTCCTTTTCCTGCAAAATCCTCTCTATTTTGAAGGGCAGGAATGAAACCGGGAGGAAGAGGTTTTCTGAAGTAACTCAAAAGAATCAGACAAAAGATTCATCCCTTTGAGGGGCACGTAGGAGAGCACGTTTGGAGAAACCCTGTTAGTAAAGGCTCCACAAAGAGCTAGGAAAACAGCATTTCTGCGTTCTGCAACACACTACGTTTTCTTTAAGAAACTTGAAAGAACAGGGGGAAGGAAGGCTGACAGTGAGGCAAGGTTCTCCTAGGACAGAGGGCAGGCCCCCGACTCCAACTTATCAGCTGCCCAAAATACACATTCAGCTGGGAAGTCACAAGAGAGTTGCAGCAAGGACATAGTCACAGCAAAAACGCACCTCCTCCCAAAATTGCTCCTATTTCTCTACCTTTGACAGTGCACCGCATTCAAGGTATCATCAGGCTGGAATCCTTTCACCCCACCTATGAGCAGAAGCAGCAACTGAACAAATCAAAACTCCCTCCACCATTCTATAGGGCTTATGATCTGTGGGCCATGTTGAAAGTACGATCTCAGACAAAAGCCAACCCAACTAGAAAAGCAAACCGCCCCATGCCATGGATCGTTTGCAGACTGCATGTCTTCCTACTGGAACCTTCCGCCAGTACATCATCACCTAAGCAAATCTAACATCTTATATTCCTGTAACGGTTACTGATGAGGGCAGGCTCTTACGGCAGTGAGCAGAAATGCCCTGCACTTGATCTAACAGGTCCCAGAACAAGAGGCAGTTTCTGTATTTCCCTACTTAGGCAACTCCCAGACAACTTCTCTGCAGAATAAGAAGGTGGAAGTGCTGGTTAATGCATATCCCACCTGTTTGGACCCAACAACAACAACTACACAACAAACAAAACTCCACCCCCACACACATACACACCACAAGACAAAACAAAAACCAAAACCACACACAGGAATGGCTGAAAAAAGGAACTCCTCCGTGCCAGCCAGCCAAAACCTACAGGCCTTGGCAACCATTCCCCTTGCTATACAGTGCCAGACGCAATTCTCCAGTTTGTGTTCCTGCTAGGCTGTTCAACCCATCCTTCATCAAATGCACTGCAGCCTCGCTAGCCATCTGCACGGCCAACCAAACCAGTTTCTGAGAGGTATAGGCTCCCTCCCGCTTCTTCTTGAAACCACCACTGCTGCCAAATCAGGTAGCAACCACAGGAGAACATCCCTTAGGGGTCATCTATCAGGCATGCCTGCTGCAACTCATTGCTCGTGTTCCCTCAAGGCCCCTGCTCAGCTTGCAGCTGTAGCCCCACTGCCCCATCCAGCTCCCTGGAGACGAGAAGTAAGGCTCGCCTGGCTTGAGTTTCGCCACCATAACCGATTTTCCATCTCGTTCGCTAGAAAAGCGGTGGGAACTCTTCAGTGGCTTATGCCACTAAAAAATGAAGGCCACACATGATGGCTAGTGGCAGATATTGCTCACATTCACTCTGCCAGCTCTGCCAGCATGACTCCAGTGGAGGAATGGCACTACCCTGTTCTCCAGTCCACAGCCCTCCTCTCAGTCTGTGGGAGGAGGAGGTCATTACACCTATAATTAACACAGATTTGAATCCAAGCCTTCTGGAGTGGAGACCCAGAGTTCTGGACCTGCAGGCAGCTTTTCCCATGGCAGAGAACAAGCACAGAACAATCAGACAGCAGGGCTTGCTCTTCTGAAAAAGAGAGGTGCTCAGAGGACCCACGTGAGGCAGGGGGAGCCAGAGACTGCCAGGCACAAAGTCCCTTTGGGACACCCGTTTCCTTGTTCTTCCCTGCAAACACAAGTGACTAGATTAGAAATTAGTCTGCCAATTAAGGACAGCACCTGATGTGCCCAATGGGGGGGGGGGGGGGGGAGGAAGCAGAAATGTGCCTGGCCAGCAGGCCAAAGATAAATCACTAAGGCTGCTCTCCAACGAGCTCGTCTAACACACTTTGGGACTGACATTGCCAGCACAGTTCGGTTCCTTTCCCAGTGCTCTCAAGGTTAAAAATCAAAACACAAAGGACCCAAGCAGAAAGAGCACGCTGAGACTTTGCTTTACCCAGTACCAAAAGGGCTGAACCCAGTAAGCCAGACCCACTGATTTCTCCCCCAACACTCGCACCATTTTCCTACCTGCTTCCCTTCAGGGAATCCCAATGCCAGGCATCCTAACATAGGCGGGACGCTGCAGAAGTGATGAACATGGGCAAGGGCAATGCTCCACAGCAACTCTCCATCTAACCAGCTGCCTGCCAAGTACTGGGCAGTGTTGGTGCTAGACCACAGCAGTCCTACCCCACCTGCACCACACCTCCCAGCTAAATCCAGCCCTATAACACCAGGTCAATACAAAGTAAATGCCAGGCAACCAAACAGGAAGGAGCACAAAGTAGCCAATGCTGTGATGTGAGAGAGGAAGCCCTAACAAATTTGGGCTCTGTGGTCTCACATTTCCTCCCCCTTCCTACATGCAGGAGTTCATTCCTCAGCATGGGTCCGAAACCAGAAAGTCTTAGTGTCTAAACAGAAGGATTATTAATTACTAAAGGCACTGGCAATCTCTTCGTCATAGCACCAATCTCTGCCAAGCTAGGTATTTCCCAAGCACTCTAGCATCCAACTCAGCTCTGTAAGCTATCCATACAGCCTACATCTCCGCAGAAACAAAGTTTCACGAACCTCCCTGCCATCAGTAAAAACGGAGCGGGGGCAGTAGAGGAAGGGAAGGAGCAGGAAGAGGTCAAGGACCGGTGTTGTAGCTAGCAGGATGTTTGGGAGGGCGCTAAGCATCCCTTACAGGACTGTCATACAAGGGCACAGACATTTTACAGAGGAGTTTGCTCTGAACACCAATACCCAGAGTTGCACTAAAAAGCTCAGGGGACACGACTAAATTAAGGGCAGCCTTTCCTACATTAGGGGTGTGTGCGTGTTGCTGTGTGTAGGTGGGGAGGTACAGAATCCCATTATTTTCCTACTGATATTTTTAAACACAGGAGGAGACCGTATGTTAAACTGGGGCATTTAAAGAGAAGAGCTGATGCACCTACATATACTCCCCCTCCCCAGGGACGATTTGGCCACTGCTACTATTCAGGTATCTGGGACAGGTCCAGAAAGGCTATCCCATTCGCAAGCCCAAGCCTCCTCTCTGCTGCTCCCCCTGCTCACTGCAGAAGCGCACTGCCAATTAGGCTCCCCCATCAGTCCCTATCCTCCATCAGTGCCAAATTCAAACACCCTAACTGGAAGCCTGCCTCCTCTCTGCTCGAGCGCTACAGGGTGCGGGTCCCGGTCCCTAGCCTTCCTGCCATGGATGCTGCTTCCTTCCAGCAGGAGTCAGGAACGGAAGCGGCTCATTAGCCCTGATGCAAGAGAAACGCACTGACTCGTTATTACAGCAACCCACAGTTGTAACTGCCAAGAGGGGCAACATAGCCACAAGCCGAGCTATAGGAACAAGCAGCTCAGCTCCATGAACTCTACAGGTCCCCTAACATGCTCCATCCCCTCCACTAGCCAAGGGGGGGGGGGGGGGGGGGGAGAGGAAGTGTACTTAATGTCACCTGCCTTTCACTAAAGCACGCTAGCTGGTACTATTGTACTGGTGTGGCACTGACCGCGCGCTGCTCTCCTGTAACTGCAGAGGCGCAAGCAGACGTGACAGTAAAGCCCTCCGTCACACCCAGTATGAAACAGGGCCACTGAACATTGCCACTATCTCACCCACAACCATCTGCATGTGTTGCATTTCTTCATCTATAAGGCACTGAGCAGACTCCAGCTGATTTGTCTGGCTACATAAAGTGAAGTTATAACTAAACCATCTTCCAATGCTTTGCAGATAAAAGATTTAGACGTAAGTAGATTGACCTCTCCAAGGTCATGCATGGATTCAGCAGCAAGAGACATGACCAGAACTCAGCAGTATGGGCTCAAAAACTGTGGGACTGCAATGACTTCCCAGAAGAGGGATGGAGAAGGGAAATCCTGATGGGCAGCAGGAACGCTGAGGATCAAGATCAGGAGGAGAGGAGTGATATCACCTTCCACCCAGCAGGGAAGTTTCCGTTCTGCTCCTTCAGCTATAAAGGCAATCTTCCCAATACAAACAGCACAGGCAGAGAAAAATTACCAAGCTGCATAGCCCAATGCTATGCTCTGCTGTGAAGAGACCAGTGTTGCCACAATCTCTTTTCTGTCCCCAGGCAACATTTCAGCTCAAATCTACACCACCTGGTTTCTCCTCAGAGGCCTAGATAGGGCCTGCACAAGTTCCTGAGACAGCTTCAAGCCTCTTCAAAGCAACGCTCAATGGAGAGGGGGGAGAGGCCTGCTAGGCAAAAAGTGGCAAAGCAAGAAACCCAAACCCCAAAGATTAGCATGGCCAATTACATCCTTCCCGAGATCCTGCTTGCTTCCTGCTCCCCTCCCTCCTTACCTGCAGAGCAGGCTCAGGGAGGGTCCGGCTCTCGGCCACCCAGATCTTCCCAAACCTCTCCAACTGCCAGGTCTGGGCAAAAATGCTTCTTAAAAACGTTCAGCTATTATAATAAGCATCTTCACCCCCTCAAATGGAAGCTGACGCTTGAAATGGGAGAAAAGACCTAACCCAGACAACAAGTTTCTCTCACTGGTGTTGATTAGCCCTAAGATACCAACCAACAGGTCAGTTCCAGAAAGGGCTAAAACTACAGAAGCATTCATCAGCTCACAAATCCCTTTCTCTGCAAAGGTGTCCAGAAAGCTGGATCCTTGTTAGGTTTTCCCTAGTTTTCTGACCTTTCCATCCAGAAGAGAGGCTTGGTTCCATCTCAAACAGTCGACTGTTATTTGAAGATACCTCAGTCACCTTTGCTAGGAGGTTGAAGAGACACAGACAGCATGAGCTCCAACACCGATTTCCCACAAACCACGTTGAATCAAACGCTTCAAACGGATTTGCAATGCAGAAATGACCGTGCCTTTGGTAAAATTCACCTAGCGTGCCCCAGATTACTTCATGTACTTGGAAAGAGATGAAGACTGCCCTCAAAAAGCTGCGAGAGGAACTCCTCCAGAAAAATCATTTACTCCAAAATGAGAACATCTATATGTCTGGGATAGCTCTCCAGCTTTGAAGTCACACCATGCACTAAACTAAATTAGTTATCTTATTGCCAATATTAGGTGACAACAGTGAGATGAAGGAGATAGGAGCTGACTTAATATGGCTGTGACTTCGGCAAGTAACCGAACACACGCTCGCCAGTAGGATGGGCACCATGCTTGGCAAAAAGCACTTTTCAGGAGTTTACTTGGAAGAGAGGTTCCGATCTCTCCTTCTCCAAGCAACAGAGATGTCAGTGGGCTTCTGGGGAATGCATCTGGTCAGACTGACCAGAAAAAGTGATAGCCCTTCAAACAAACAGTCCTATAAATCCAACGCTCACATGTGCGCATACACACAAAAAATAACTGTAAGGTCACGGCTGTTTTTTCTCCCAGCCACTTATCAATGCTTGTATTAGAGAGAACAAACACTGGACATTCTCTCACATTAACCCCTTCGCCGCCCCCCCCCCAATCCCAAAATTCGGAGAGAAACAAAACATTGCTGCTCCAATCACAAGCCAAAACACTCCTATTAACTCATCAGACGAAAACCTGCAGAGAAATTATGGAACATTAAAGGAAGGAGCAAGAGAAAGTCCAATTACTGTTCCCGTGAAGCAACTGGTGACCTAGCTCTCTGCCTCATGTCCTTTAGCCACCAACAAGCTCGAACTGATATCACTGGGAGCCTCCAGCTGATCCACACAGGCAGCCCCTGTGGGAAGAGGCCAGAAGTACCAGAACCACCCACCCCTAGCTGTTCTTTAAGCTACAGGATATTGAACAGGCAACAAAATTTCAGGCATGGTAAGCAAAATTAAGATGTCTCAGAGAGACTCTCATTAAAATAAAGGAACCATTTAGTGTCAGCACAGAAGCTAACAGGATCCCACTGTGTGGAAACCGATACTGGATGGGGCTTCCCGATGACAAGACTGCCACGTACTATTCTGCAACACTCTTTTCTGCATACATATAAAGGACATGCATATAAAGGAGTCTTCCCAATATAAAGTCCAATACTGCCCAAGAGCCAAGAGCGAAACCACCTAAGGACAGCCCAGCCAATGACGAGCAAGACAGACACATTCTCCCCACAGAGGAGGAGAAATCTCTCCCCTCCCCAGGGGACATCACATCATTGTAGCTAGAAATCCAATCTCTGAACGAAAGAGGAGATTTCCTCACCCCCTCACTCCCCCGGCATCGTATGCATGCCCCTTCATCACACAAGGATGCCATAAATCCCAGTGACATCCCCAGGAAATGCAAATTACAAGGCTGCCTCCACCTTATTGCTGCGGGCAGAGCAGGGGCTCTGTAGGATATACAAGGCAGCAAAGTGAAGAGAACATAATTATATCTCTTAACTGAATCAGAAATCCCCAAACTCATAATCTGCTCCCCTCTGGCCCAGTCAATCTAGCTGGTTTTAATCAAACCTAACAGCTTTTCCAACCTCTCCCCAAACTTCTTCCTTGCTTGGTTCCACTTTCTACTGTTAATTAGATCAACTCAGGCTTCAACTCCAATTGAAGACAGACGGTTGCCTGCCTGAGAGCTGCCACATTTCTTCCAAACCTTCTTCAAAGCCATACTTACAGGTTTAATTCCACATTTTAAAAATATAGGTCACTTTCACATGAAATTCTTCCCTGCATAGAATAAAAATGTCACATTTTTATCATTCTCTGATTAAAACAGGGGAGCAAAACAGTTCACCCGAGAACGCTGCTGTAAGCTGTTGGGAAGCCAAAAGACATCAGCCCCCTTTTGCTCAGCTCAGGGCAAGACCCTCTGCAGTGGAGGGTGAATTTCTGAGCAGTCAAAGGATGCTTTAGATCATAGTAGACATTCCCCCAAGCTCCCAGGGTTTAGCTGAGCTGGGAAGTGACGTCAATGTTGGTATCAGTCAGGAAAGTCTCATGCTTTGTCATCTGAGCACGTGACAAAGACATTTCCACGACACACTTTGTCTTCTTGGGTGGAATCTCATGCACAAATATTCTATCACTTCTTTTTCAGTCAGATTAAAACCCCCATCATCATCACTGAGATGCATTTCTCCACATCTCAATACTTGCTGTCATAGTCAAATAATTTCTCAGCATCAATGCGTACCAGTGTGATTCTTTACACTTATTCTTTGCTTGGTTCTTCCATCATTTGCTCCCTTGCATGGCCTTGTAGCTAACTTGCCAATGTGAATCTGTCTGGAAGTCCACAGGTAGGGGCAAAGCGTTTCACTGATTCCTTTACACGTCTCCTCTTAGGCTACATGAGGACAAGAGCACTGCTATCTACAGAGATGTGGGACTCTTATTACAGTCAAGTCTTTATTTTCAGTAGGCTTGTTCAGGTTGGGGGGGGGGGGGGGGGGGGGGGGGGGGTGTG